ATTTAATCATTACTGAACTTGGATATTCATGATCAATTTTTTAATTTACCTGGTGCTTTTCTCTTGAAGATTTGTGCTGCAATGTGTATGAGTTTAAATGTTATTGGGGCAGCATGGAAGGATTTTTGTAGATTAGATGTCATAGAAATGGAGAAGAATGGATGGTTGGAGAGAGGTCTTAGGTTAGAGGAGGAAGATGGAAGCAATGTGAATTTCTAAATGGACGAATGGTTGGAGATGGAAGTGTAGCTAATAAATTTCCAAGACTTCTTTAGCTATCTGCAGGGAAAGACAAGAAGATGAATCAAATGGGGACGTGGGACAATGGAGAATATGTGTATGGCATTGTCGGTTAGGTATGATCTCTTTAAAACTGCAATCATGGTAATGGTTGGTAACTTTGGGTAATCTGCATTATTTCTTTGGCAGTCAGCCTACTGTGTATCGAGAACCACAATTGGACATAAAGAAACTTAGGGATATTATGAACTGACCCCATTTCATGTTTGCCATGCAGCTGCACAAGAACGGACAGGTGCTGTTTTTATGGATTGGGATCTGAACAATCTATCCATGAGTGAACGATCGACCTCGTCAGCTGTGGAAAGTAATAGCAAGCCCACCGGTTGAGCTCCCACGAGCTGGAGAACGAGTTTCTATTTTCCATAAGGACACATGGAACAAGGGAATGTTTGTGTTTAAATTCAAATTTCTATCTTTAGATGTGGTAAATTATTCCATTTAATTATGGGAATGATTCTCGTGTTTGGATTTGGGGATTCAATATTCAAATATGGGCATTCTGGTTGGGATTGTATTGTAGTTGGTGGCGTCCATGAATAAAGAGATGAATCAAAGGATTCCGCTGTTCAATCTTCCATCCAAGATTCTTTGCTGTGTTATTAACATTCACTTTGCTGGTATGCCCTTTTTCTAGTTTTTATGTTATGTTTTAGTTTCTGAGGAATAAAAAACAAGAAATGCTTTTGGATCCTATGTTCTTTATTATTATTTTTTTCTTTTAGGCATTAGGTTTTGTAGATGAATGAAATGGCATTTTTCTCTACACTTTAAATGACTGAAGATATCTTTTTTCTCCATCTCCTAAATAAATTGAACCATTAAAACCACTGATTTGAGGGTAATTTATCTATTGATTCATTCTTTTCGTAGGCTGAACAAGAAACTGATGAGGTTTTATGCACAAATAGCTTTGCTTCCTGTAGCAAATGTAAGCTCCTACATTACTCTTCTTCTTTGAGTTATTGGAATGGAAAGCTGGATTTTATTTGGTGCGGACTGCGGGGTAGTCCAATTGAAATTACTTTATGCTACTGAAGCAAACTGAGCCAAGACCTAAGGTTCACTCATTCTGCAAGGTTTTAACTGCTTCTGATACAAGCAACCCATGGGGGTTTTTCAGTTCTCCGAATGCATGCCACTGAATGCCTTCCTCCACTGGTACTATCTTTTAGGTTGTGTGATTTGATTAGCTCCCTTTTTTCTTTTTTTTCTTTTTTTTGACATGATAACCCACTTTATTCAATTTCACATGTGGATCTTCTTAGTACATGAATCATGAAGAGCTCAAACAGATGCCGAGTGAATGTTTTACAGTAATAGGTTGGAGCATCATTCAGTGATCTCATTTTTTTCTTCACCATTCCTTTTTTTT